CAAATACTAGTGATGTCTCTGCCCACTCAGAGTGCTTTCACTGGTGCCTTTCATGTTCTCAGGGACATGATTTAGTGGTGGACCTGGAATCGCTAGGTTAATGGTTGGACTTGATCTGAAGGGTTTTTTCCAACCTAACTGATTTTATGATTCTATGTTTCCTTTCCTTACATAGTATTAGAAGCAAAGATATTAAAAATCTGGTGCAGTCATGGCATCGTCTTCAGCCTGCAGAGATTCCAGGAGAACATCACTCAAACCTGCTCACAGGGGTGAGCACACAGAGGTGCTCATGTCCTTTCAGCTCCAACCATCCATACTCTCTCAACACCTGGATGCTGAATGTCACATAGATCTAGTTCATTTCCCTGAAGTGTTGGCAGCATGGCGGACTGAAGGCAAAATCTTTTACTACTGCTATTTTGTATTAACTCTTAAGTTTTACTTGTTTTGTGTTCCATGGAGGTAGCCTCGGGTGCAGCAGACCTCAGTACTTAGAAGATCTGCAACTTCACATTCGTCAGAAGAAAAAAATTGTGCCATCTCGTCTTCCAAACAGATATGTGCCATCAGTCTGCAACTGCTGAAACCAAAGCCAGCTTCCTAGCTGACTCCATACTTTCTGATAACAGCTTTGTAAGCCACTGCAGGAAGAGGATACTACCATTGAAGTTACATTGGAAATCTGTGTCTCAAAGTCCCAGTTCAGTCATGCATTTACGTGTGCAATTTCCTCTACACAGAAATTATGCACACATTACTAGTATTTTCCAACTGGTATCAACCAAGCTGTCCTGTGCATTGCAGATAACAAATATTAACATACATGTGTTCTGCTCCCTCCCCATAAACATACATCACGTTCCCTCTGCAAGGCTTTTAAACCTGCCGCACTCGTACGTCTCGTTTTCCTGTAGTTCCCGATAGACCCACTAGCCTCTCTGACCACCTTCCCCGAAGTATCAAGAAGTAAGTGATAACAAGGAGACTTTGTGCTTTCACACAGCAAAGTACAAAATGAGCTCAGAGCTGCCCGTGGTGGTAAGTGTAAGTACCTCCAGAGATCAAGGCTCTGTGGAGGAAACAACTGTCCAACAGAGCAGGGGACCTTTCTGTTCAGGACGAAGAAACCTTTTACACACCCGCTGTAATCACATGAATATCAACCGGAAAACAACTGATGGAAGTAACTTGGGCCTTGTGTGCCAAAGGAGTCACTGCGTACGAAGAAAGGGCAGTTTGTCTGTGGAAGCCCCAGCACCAGCCACTTGGAGCACCTCCTTAGGCGTACGGGGACTTCAGCCGCAGAGGTAAGCATCTAAAATTTTGAATTTCAAGCATTAACTGCTACTTTGGGACTAAGTTCTGTTGATCCAGCCCCTGTGTTAAGAGAAAAAGGTACATAGAAAGAGTAGTGCTACAATTGCAAGGAGCTAAAAATGCAAGTCTCTGCTTTTTAAAAATAAATAAGAAAGTTTTATTCCAAGCAGCATGGTTTTTAGAAAAACATTCTATTTATGGTTGGTCTTTGCTTTTTGCCCAGAAGCCAACCTGCAATCTAATGAACAGACTTTTTTCGTTCTTTTATTTATCTTTGGACATAAAAATGCTAGGAAGATCTAGATCCACATTTTATTCCCTGACTACCTAACATTATCTGAATGATTTCATAGTACTGCACTTTAAATTACTGCCCAAGACTCTTGACTGAGTACGCTTGCAGAACCACAAAGTATCTGGAAGCCTTACAGGAACCCATTCACCAGAAGAGATCTTTTTGACACCACTGTGACACAAGACTGTTTTTTTTCCCGTAGTTCATCTTATCTGTCTCCACAGCGATTATGAAAGGCAGACAATATTGTTCTTACCTTCAGCTGCTGGGTTTCTATGGCAGTGTCACAGTGCTGATAGCAAAGCAAAAACAGTAAGGTTAAAAGGTATTTGTTAATCTCTCTAACATTTTTTTCTGTATGGAGTGGAAGGTACAGAAGCACCTGACAGTCCCCTATGGCGAGCAGTAACACTACGTGCCAGGGTTGCAAGTTACCGTATTACAGGGTAACTCAGAACACACGATGACACCATGTAACTGTTATAAAGCTGCTCTACAGGCAGTAAAGACCTACTGGGCTGTGAAAAATCCAAATACCTTTTCTATACATTGACAGCGGGTTTATGCAGCACTACAGGATAGTCAGTAAAACCTAGCAGCGACATCAAGGGATAAGACCAAGAATATTTAAAATATCAGTTACTCCACCTGACCATTTTTTTAAAAAAGGAAAGAAAAAGATACTGTGCTGAGACTCTGCTGGACAGTATATAAAAGACTTGACCCTGCTCTGCTTGCAAGTTAGAATCATAGAATCACAGAATGGCCCAGGCTGGAAGGGACCTTAGAGATAATCTAGTCCAACCTCCCTGTCATGGGCAGGGACGCCACCTCTCGACTAGATCAGGCAACACATGGGGACCAAGCGGGAATCAAACCCGCAACCTCAGTGTTCTCATTGTTGTCAGCACCGCGCTCAAACCACTGAGCTAACCGGCCCCCTCAAAAAAAAAAAAAAAGTTATTTTACTTCTAACTACAAAAAGAAACCACAAAATGCCATCAAGTCAATGTTTCATTGTCACGTTGTGTTGATATAGATTCTTAACAGCCAACAACATAGATTAAAAGGTTTTTGATCCTTTGGTCCTATTTGCTCTTAAGCCCAAAAACCACCAAATAAACCCCGACAATGCAGTAATAGCTTGCATTGAGCATACAGAATGACTTGATGTAAAATTGTGCTCTCTAGTGGAGAAATTTGATACTGTGCAATAAAAGTTGAAGCTATGTTCATCCATCCAATTAACCAATAGGTTTTCAGTGCAGAGAAAATACTAAGATTTTCCACAATATGAAAAGAGTGCAAGTGCCTAGTTCAACAGATTTATTATGACCGGGTAGGTTTATACTGAGTTACATGACACATTACAGCTAGACAAGGTTTCTAAATAGACAACAAAAAAGTACCTAAGAAATGTTTTTATGTTTGTTTAGATTTTGAAAGTAATCACAACCTTAATGCAATAGCAAAAACATTTCCTTTCAATGATGTGACATTTTAATATGGCCCTATATAATAGTATGTAGTCTGATGAAAATAGGTTAGTTTTACACCAGATAGTGCTACTTGGTTTACATGATGGGATTCTTCTATAAATAAGGGTTTAATAACAAAATTCTCTATTGATTTAGAGAGAAGAACTGACACGATCACCAACTCCTTTATTTCTAGTTATGCATACATCACTAATCTTAAGCATACTGCATGGGGCTTCAGGAAATACTAACTTCTGTCCAATATTTTTTCTTGCAGTGTTAACAAAATGAATGGGTTAACAGGCTATTTTCTTCATGACAGCTGCGTACTGCTATTATTTCTGGCCAGGTATGGACCAATGAATACATGAACTCAATTTAATAGCAGATAAATTATTTAAAACCACTTGGCCATGTCATGCTTCCTCGACAGTATAGAGGATTTTGCTGCTTTGAGCTTTCTATTTTAACTAGGCTCTTGGAATAAATCTGAAGGTAAAAGACAGAAATATGAAAGTCTTCAAAAAGCTAAATATACAGCTAACATGCTAATTTTAAAATATATTAACATTTGTCATGCATTCTAATTCAACAGTAAGGATCTAGCAAGAGTTCTCTTATGTTGTTGCAGAATGTTATGACCAGGTGTTACAGAAAACAATATTCTCTCGTCCTCTTTGGTCCCTAAAGACGAAACATGAGGGAATGTTTTTTGACAGAGCTACCTTTCATGTTTTAAGTTCCCTAGTGTACTCAGAAAAGACAACCTGACAATTCAGCAAAGCCAGCAGCCTGGATTTAAGAAGAATCATAAGCCACTCAGAGAATCATACAAGTTGAAAGACTTGCCAGCTGGATGGTTTTTTTTTTAAATGAAAAAAAGTTCACAACTGATCTTATACCAGAGCAAGAAGTAGAAAGTTCCCCTGACTTGCAGCACAACTGGTGCTGATATGGCAGCAACTTAAACACTTGTATTTAGTCAAACCCATGACAGCAAGCAGATTTCCTAAGTTTCTGCACTGGTAGTCATCTTGAATTTTGAGCTTGGGAACAGTTGTCAGAGATTGGATAAAGCAAAAACCTACTTCAGCAGTTTTGTCCTATCTTAATAGAAAGACGAATAAGAACTAGGTAATAAATTGTAGTTTGGGTAAATATTGGCTAAATATTTATGGCTATTTTAAAAATATTTATGAGGAGTGGGAACTCTGCAAGACACTGTTTCCATTTAATATTCACCTGCACATTTTCACAATATTCTTCAAATTTCTGTCCTTCCTATGTCAGTATCACTTAAACCATACTTATTTAAGCCATGTGCAAAAAAAATACTGTTAATCCAAAAAAAAGAAAAAAAAAATCCCCAGATTAAGGAGCCATAAAGACAAGTGAGATATCCCTTCGAGTGGAGTCCCTGTGTAGTTCCTGTTACAGTTAGATAACAGAGTGATCTTACACATGTTTAGTTTGGAATTGAACAGTGGTCATGCAAACCTAACACACCGTTGTGAGCATACTGTAGCACCACTTGAAGTTAACTGGTACATATTATTAGCTCTGTTGTAGTAGTAGCCATTGGCCACACTAGTACATGCATGGAAGGGAAACAGCCCAGTAAACGAGAGAAATGTCTTTTTTTCTAAGCCTCACTCGAGAGTGGGCATGTCTGCAAAACCTCTATTTTTAGCTACAAGTGTTATCACAGCAAGGCAGAAGTTTCACTGTGTTTTGCAGACTCAGCTAAATATGTTATGTTAGAGTTCATTCACCCTCAAAAGACATTAAAAAATACCAAGGCAGAGCTCAGTAGATTTATTCATTAGGTTGTAAGCCATCTAAAAAATCAGGTCCAAAGTTGTACTGCAGGCTACAAGATCCAACTTAGCAATTCAGTTTATCCTATGTAAGAAGCGTAAACAAGATACCTTCCAATTAGATCAACCTCTGCATTTATTGAGGGAAGAGAAAGACAGAGACTAAAACCCCAGATGATTCATACTGGCTCCCAATTCCATCCTACACAACAACTTTGTGAGGTTTTTGGGACACCACTAGGAAATCATCCACTGTGACAAATTATAGCTGCTACTACACCACTACCATGACAGACTACTTTAAGGATAATTTACAGTAACGTCTTCAGAAGCTATTGTGCTAAGAAAACCAAAGCTTGCACTGACCTATTTATAATTCAAACATTCTCTCTATTCCACGATAAAGAGGTTTTCGAGAATATGAAAGCACGATCCAGGGGGTCCTCATAAGACAGAGCAGATTTCAGCCTTCGCTCAGTTTCCTATATCTCAACAGTTGCAGAAGTGCCATTTGTGTAGCCACCTTTAGACTTCATGTGGTCCTGAATTGATACAGCCTAGAAGAAAAGTTTATTAGAACATGCATCTTATGAAGTCCGGTTGTCAGAGCAATTATTAAAAGCCTCAATGTGGAGGGGCAGGTGAGGCGTATGTTTACAGTGCTGGGTCCCAAGAAAAGCCGGGAAAAAATAACAGCTAACCCCAGGATTGTTAAATACTGTTGTAACTTGGTGCAGGAGATGAGTCTCGCTATTCAGAAATCCATTTGTTCTAATTTCCCTCACCCTGGCAGAACTTTGGCTTCAGGGTGACGTGTTATCTGGACCTAGTATCAAGTGCACCCACAGAATCCTTATCCAAAAGGTTCTCATCATATGTAAAGATACCGAGGGGATGAGCACTTCTCGCTGAATATTTCTTCCACAGTATCTTACATTTACAAACCAAAGGACAGTTCTGTTCTGACACTATTTTATTGATGAAAAAAGAAAAATTAGGATTTTTCTTTTTCTTATAATTATCTCGTATTTTATTTGTTACCTGTTCTACAGGTTACTGAGTGAAGATTGCTGCTTACAGGTTACTGAGTGGAGATTTCTGCTTATCCAAGAGGTGCACACTTACTGAGGAATAGTCACTGCTCATTTCTCCTGCCCCAACATGCGCAGTGTGTACAAAGTTCATTGGCTCTCCTATCATATTCCGGTCCAGTCTCCGACGCCTCTTCTATAAGAGAGAAGGTCTCTAATGAGAAAACATGAGCAACTTCCAGAGAGAAATAAGCAGCTGAGATTAAAAAAACAAAAAGCAACAGATGGTCAGTACTGACCCCTAATGACTCCTTGTAGCAATTGGGCTGGCAGTTCAGACTGTTTTTCATAAGAGAGGGTCAAAGCCACTCTTATTACTGCTAATGGGATTTCAGAGAAAAAATGTTTCTTTAATGTTGGAAAGTCAGAGCTTGAGAACTGAAAACAGTCACACAGCCAAAGCTTCTGGCAAAACACACATACGTTCAACATAGCTTAACAGGTCTGGTTTTAGCTTTTACATTACTTAACCCGAGCTTATCAAAACAATATAACAATGAAAGTGTTTTCCACATCACTGAAAGACCAGATTCAAATCTGATAAAGGATAGCAGTTGAGGATCTACCTACCGGCGGGGGCTGTTCACCATTGCACCAATTAAAGCAAACAAGGAATTCAGTCATTATATTTTTCAATAGGTAGTAAGGTCTTGTTAAGTGTAATTATTTCTCTGGGCGTGAAAGCAGTACGAGGATCAAGATGCAGGGAGTTTAAGAAAGAATTACTTGAGCAGATTCACTGGTAAAAATCACAGATAGCATCTGATGAGTATACCTGCAAAGAAATGATGACTTAAATTTATACTAAAATATATCAAAATTTTGTAACAGTTATTGAGCAATAGACATTTCAGAAGACTGAAACAAGATTGTAAAATTCTTAAACATACCTGCACAGAAGAGTAGCATCAATTTAAAATCAGTATGTTCATGTCAGAAATCAGGGTTAAGAACTCTGCCTATTTACTCCCAGACAAGACAGTGGTATAAGTTCTGGTTTTGTTACACAAGTGTAATAAAAGCAATGCTAGAATTAAGTCAGGTCTTGTTTAACAGTCTGTGATCTGGCTGCAAGCAGAGCTAGCCAATACTTATGAACTATTTAGTATTTTGAAAGAAAATATCTTTGAAGAACAGATTGAACGCTTAACATGTACAAACTGGTGCAAAAGAAAGTTTCCTTCTCACATTTGATACAGCTACTCTTCTCAGACATAGAAAAGCTCAAAGTAAATGGTCCTCTATAACTCTAAAAAGCCCTTAAAAGACAAAACAAGAGTTTTGTATAGCAGCAACAGAAATCGTTTATCAGATACATCCTAGAGCTTCCCAGAACGCATAAAACTATTAACACAGTACTCCCAAACTGAAGGCACAACCAGGAAACTCAATGACTTTAAGTGCCCTGAAGCTATGATAAAAATCAAATTTTTAGTGGTTATTGACTTTTAGAAAAAAAAATCTAAAAAAAAATTGTTCAAATCCAGGGCTATAGAGTAGCCTTTCATAGAAACTTCTTCATAGCTCACACCATTAAAACAATATTATAACATGTTAATTTATAAAGGTTATTTTTAAAGGCTTACAGCTTAACAAAGTTACAGCTTCATCAATTCAGTCCTTTGGAACTCCCACTGAAGTCTTCACAACCAAACAGCATAAACTTCCCCCTTCACACACATTTCTCACGTAGTCCCACAATTACCTAATTAACACATCTATTTCTTTCACTTTTGTGATTTTCTCACACTTCAAGCAGATTTTTAAAATTACTGCCAATTCTCTTTCAAAGCATTTGTTACCTTTGCCTCTTAGCTTTAGGTAGCCTATACGATACATTATTGCAAAATGTGTCATATATTATTCCATTTTATCCTGGCTGGTTTTAATACAACTCTTTATCTAGCTGAACTATAATTTTTCGTTTCACTTCACCCTCTCACAATACTCTTTATCAGCACCGATGCCTTGTTTGAGTGCAGCAAAGAAGGGACAGTGGCCCAAACAACCACAAGAACACGCAGAAGATGAAGCTTTTGCCTACACTTTACACTGGTTACACATTTTGGGGGTTTATTTCATGTTAAAGAGACTGTATCAAAGCTAAGATTTTCTTAAAAATCATGGAGTGTTTCACTGTACGCTAATAACCTATTTTGAAAGCAGACTGACTGAGATGAGCATCAAATTAAATCAGCATCTCCACGCCAAAATAACAGTTGAACTCCTGCTCTCCTTCCGCCGTGCCCCCCAGCATTTGGCCACCTACCTCCGCGGGGCTCTGTGCGTACCTGGCTCTGACCTGCTGCTCCCCGTGAGCCCTGCCGTGGCGGTACGGCCTCACTCAAGTAACGGCACGCAGCCAGCTCCTGTCTTGGCAACTCCAGCGCCTTTACAGTGCATATTCCTGGGTTATAATTAACCCTGATGGCTAAGCAGGACTGCTTCGCTGCGACGCTGTACCCTGCAACGGTTCCCTCCCTCTGCAAGTCTGTTGTGCGCTTCACGCTTACCTACAGGTGTCAAAAAAGCAGAACGGAAACCAAAAATAGCGCCCTAGTTTGGCGTCGGATCTGTGCAGCCGCGCAGCGTTCTCAGCACTCTCCATACAGCCTGTGGCTCACTTCCACCCCTGCGGCAGCTCTGCAGGTGTCCTCCTGGCACACAGCAGCGCCGGACGCCTTCCTGTTGTGTTTCACAACGCAACTCTTCTTCTTTTCCTCTGCATGAGTCATGGTATCACCGCCCAGGATGGGAAAGCCTGCACCGGGGCACGGGACACCACCTTCCTCCCAGAGACTCAGGGTTTCCACATGAACTGGAAGAATTTTAAAAACATCTTCATATGTTCGGACTCACCCGGGACTGGTAAAAGGCAACAAGAATCACCAAACTGAGAAGAAAACAACATTTTGTCACTGTTGGCACACAGACCAGAGTGGGACAATATCCTGTTGTTCTATATTTTTCACCACAGCAGCAGTATCGTCGAGGAGAGAGAGACAAAGGGCCAGGGAAATGGCTAGTACGCACAGACACAGATGTTGAATGCGATGGCAGGATGCACAGCCATTCTAGAGTCCGTGGCCTTAAAGTGCCCAAGAGCTTTATGAATGTTTAGATACACTTTACTGAGCATAACATTCAATTTGTTCCATCGTTCCTGTGTATCAAAGAGTAGTCAAAATATTCTTGTATTTTACTTACAAAATGTCAATGCTATAAGAAGTGGAAAATGTTTGTCTGAAAAAGAACAGAAGAATTCTCCCTTTCCATAGGCATGAGATGCCTGGAAATCTTGATAAATGACATCCACTTCTTCACCACTGTCTGAACGTGACAAATCCTCGAGTCTGAGCTAGTAGTGAAAGACAGCGAGTGTGAAGTCAGCGTGTATTATCACACATCAGACACAGACTAGCATCACCTAGCTCTTACTGAGTTATTAAATTGCAATAACTTTTGAGGCCAGTTATTGCCATTTTTCTTCCAGATGTCACTACTGAGCCGAGGTGAGAAGCGCACTCCAGCCTAACTGCCTTTCTAGAAATCGCTGTGCTTCTAATTTGTTCATTATCTGTGCTTTGCTCATTTGATATTTACCTCAAGGTAGAATACTGAAACAGTTGTACATTTACATATTTGAATGGCAAAGTGTGGTAAAAAAACTGTAGAACTTGTATTCCTAGTTCAAAAATTAGTTTTAAGCATGAAACTTGAAGAGTGCATCTTGCTTGGTGAAAGATGAAGAGTAAAAACCCATAAATTACCAAGACTTTGGAAGAACTTTGGAGCCAAACAGCTGAAAACCTGCTGTAGTGAGCTCAATTGCTTGGAAATAGCACCCTGATTATATTAATGTATGTACAGATTACCAACTTAGTTTGAGATGCAGTCCTCAAAACACATAGTAACACTATAATGTAGCCTGATTATATATTGGCCTTCTGTTACCCTGAAGCTTCACAGAAAGCTGAGAATAGTTTTACCTGAGACCTCCATTAAACTAGGTGTGCTGGTCTTGTTAATTTAAGGAATTTAGGTATAGTCTCTGAGATTTGGAACTTCTCCATTTAAAGCTAAGTAGACACAGTCACTGAAAAGAAAACAAAACAAAACAAAAAAACCCCAACCCACCAACCTCAAATCCCTATGAATCCTATATTGCAAAATGGAAACTAGCTTAGTCATAAACTGAAGGAAAAAAAGGCATTTTTAACTAACTTTCCACCCCATCTCAAAAAAAGGGAGAAAAAAGACCAAATTATATGTTCTGCTTGGAAGTTAAAAATAATTGTGAGAGAAATCAACTGAGCCTTGTTTGGAGTCTTACCAGAAGAAAATGAGTAAAACCTCCAAAAAAAAGACGAGAAGCAAGTGGAACATTAGCAACACATCTACTGCTCCTATTGGAAACGGACTGCGTTACCGGCTCGTAAATCACGGAATTTCATGTTACTATGAATAAACTCTGATTAGATCAATAAAGAAAAAAAAAGGCTCTGACCGTAGATTTTATTTCTTCATATAAGGTAAAAAAGCCTCCGCAAGAAACACAGAATTCCCTGAGGCGCAGCAGCTCCGCGCCCGCGGTTTTTGCGGTTTGCAGGAGCAGAGCGAGGGGACGCGTGTGCTCCTCCGGGGGCTCCCGAGACAGAGGCCCATCCCGCGTTTCCCTGTCACGCTCCCACGGGCCTATGAACACGCCCGAGTTTCGGGGCCCAAGATCGGATCGGACCCGACCCCGGACGCCAGGGACGCCCGCGCCGCTCGCAGGAGCGCTCGCTCCCGGCCTTGCCCGTTCTGGCCCGTCCAGTCTCGGCCCGTCCAGTCCCA